CTTTTGCAAGTCATATATATATAGCTATATATATATATATATATATATATATATATATATATATATATATATATATATATATATATATATATATATATATATATATATATATATATATATATATAGTTTAATTGATGTCAAGCAGGCAAAAAATGCACACATTGACACTGATATCAAATGAAAGAAACATGACAATGCTCTTAACAAGTACTTGTCACACACAACTAGTTTCGCTTTTGCTTGAATACATTTCTGTTTATTTTATACTGTTTTTCATAGCTATTTCTGTTCTGAAAACTATTGAATTTAAATCATTTGTTGTGGAGTAATGGGCACGAAAATGCATGTTTATAACAATTATAAATGTTCATTTCATTTATTTTTACTGGTAGCCTATTTTATAGATTTCTGAACACAGTTGTAAAATATTTTAGATAATTATAATATATAATGTGGGCGTCATGATAGCGCAGTGGGTAGCACAATCGCCTCACAGCAAGAAAGTCGTTGGTTTGAGCCTCGGCTGGGTCAGTTGGCATTTCTGTGTGGAGTCTAAAGACATGGGATATAGGTGAATTGAATAAGCTAAATTGGCCGTAGTGTATGTGTGTGAATGCGAAAGTGTATGGGTGTTTTCCAGTGTTGTGTTATGACTGAAAGGGCATCTGCTGTGTAAATCATATGCTGGATAAGTTGAGGATTCATTACACTGTGGCGACCCTTGATTAATAAAGGGACTAAGCTGAAAAGAAAATTAAAGAATTAATGAATATACAACGTATACACCAATGTGACGCCAAATGTCTTTAAAATAGGGTAAAATAAAATATATTTGCAGTAGAATTTTTAAATACTGCTTATTTTATTGATTATATCATTAATATAACTATAATCTAACTAAGTAACTTCTATATTTAATCATGTTGCTCATTATCATTTTACATTTAATATTTAATTTTTTAGCCAAATTTTCTGTAAAAATTTTTACCCTAAAATCTAGCTAAAGCAATTAAAAGTTATTTAAATATGATGAATTTTAACTAATTATTTTATTTTAGTAATATTTCAATACATTAAAACTGATCTATGAATACAGCATGGGTTGAAAAAGTATTGATCTGAATGCATAATTATTAAGATGAAACACTTATATAGGCATCAGTGGGGGAATGACACACAGAACGATGTATTGAACTTCAATGCATCATTCAATCAACTCAGTTTCAATCAGAGTGATTTCACTTTCAATTCTGCAGAAATACAGAGCAATGATGTCATGCGGAGCTGGTCAAATGACATGAAAGCAGAGTGAAAATAGGCACCTTTTTAAAGACAGCTGGATCTGGCAGAGCTGGACCAAAAAAAGGCACATCGTCTCTTGCTGTTACAGACACCTACGATAACACAAAACACATTATGACAGATTCCAGGAAAGCATATCTGTAGGTAACCCTGCATATATTATATTGGCAAAATAAAGCATTCTTATGACTAAGATGCAAGACTTTAGTGTGCATGAATAAAACAGGATTAATTACCTTATAGAGGACGTTCTCAGTGCAGGCGTTCTCCACCTGCACCACCACATAAGCATGAAGAAAGTTGGATGCAATCATATCAGGTACAAACGGTGTGTTTTCTTCTTGAAACACAATGGCCACAATGTCATTTCCTATATGCCTCTTCCTCTGGAGCTGAAATCAAGTCAGAGCAAGAAAACAAAAGTAAGAAGAGGAAGCTGCCCGTAAGGTCTGTGCAACCCAACAGATTCACTTCTTTGAGCAGACCAGCCAGAACCGAAACCTAAACTTAAAAGTAAATTGACCATGCTCTTTGAAAATTTATGATCAAAAAGGAATCAGCACTTTTATACCTCTTTAATTTTAAAGATGCCCTATAAAGAAAACCTGGATATACCTATATAGGCATAGTCGAATAATAAGTTTGGTACATGGATATGGTCATACCGTGAGCCTCAAACAGCATTGTTTCCTTGTTTTTATTTAAATTATGCCAGTGTAAAACCCTGGTGAAAACAGGCCAATCTAACCACAATGAAGACTGTTGCATTGCTCACAGGGCACAATTTTCCTACCTAATTTTTTAAAAACGTCAAATTTTAAAAAACGTACCATCGTACCATGTATGTGGGACTCTTATTTTGAAAACAAGAGACACAAAAAAGTCTAAGCCAGTCGTACAAGTTTGTTTTCTGCATGCATTACTAAGCACAACTATGTAGAGCTCATCAGAATGCAAAATGCTGGATATACAGATTAAAAATGTGTACAGCGCCACTCTGAAGAGGCATAAGGTGTTTTTTTTTTCAACTTTTTTAGTTTATTGTGGTTACTGGGAAGTTTGCTGGATATGGCGCCTTTATTTTATACCATTCTCATGCCTAATGTTGCCATATAGTTTTTGTTATAATTATGTGTGTTAAATTACATTTAAAGAAATTAGCTATTATTTTTTTTATCTTACAACAATTTACCCATGTTTTTCCATATTTTTGTAAACTAATAAAAAACTATTTAAATAAAAAAAATTAAACATAAAGAAAATTTAAATTTAATTTAATTACAGCTGGCTACGCTAAAATAAACATTGGTTATTAGTGTTAGTAAGCAATAACATTTGCTCAGGCCATACACCATAAATGGGGAATCGGTCAAGAAAAAAAAAAAAAAAACAATAGATACAGAATGAAATAATTAAAAAAATGTTAACCTGTTGAGTTTTTATTTAATTTTGTGGTCAAATACGACTTGGTCTGCCCTTGCTATGTTTTGTGAGATTTTCCCCAAAAGTACAATATTGGATCCTAATATTATACAGTACGCACACCGCCAGCCCATTTGTGTTTTATTACACCAATTATGTCTAAGCCTCGAATTTAAGAACAATAATTAAATTTATACTTGATTTAACATCGCAACAAAGAGTATTAGCATTCAGCAGGGTGTCAGATTTATCTCCAATAAAGCTTCAAAGGTTTATCCGATTAGCTTTCCTCAGTGCGTTCGCTCGTCTTCACAGCTTGCTCATAAATACGTATTAGAGAGCACTGTCAAAACAGAAAACTAGTTCATAGACATTCGCCAGTTCAAAAGAAAACTGCTTGTCTCCCTCATCAAAGTGTTCAGGAAATTCATCAGACATGCTGAAAGATGATTGCAGCCCTTTGGCAAACATCACAGCGAAAACAATGTTTTTAGATTGAAGCAAATCATTTTAAGGCTAAAACAAATTTGTGTGTGCCAGTCTGCAGACCATTAGCATGTCTCTATATAGCATCATGTATCTCATACTAAAGCGATTAAAGATTCCCTGAAATAACCTGAAATGCACATCTTTGTTTCATTTGCGACGTAATTTCGACAGGGCAGGAAATATTGAGTAGCTCCTCCTATCTTTAATAGCAACCAATAGGCTTTTGTTTATATCACAGCTCTGCCAGTCAGGATAGTGATGAGAGAAACAACTGAACAAACTGCTTCATAAAATGACCCACTGTTTCAAAGAGTAGGGTCGTCTGCGGACTGCAAGACAGAGGCGTAACATGAAGGGGGCGTAACTTGTTGACAACCTGTAGTTGATTTTGTTTCGAGCAGGGTAACTTATAGATAATCTTAGGACTAATATATTCGAACAAATATTTCAAATTTGATCTGTGACGGACTTTAAAAGCAGCAGGAGATGAATCTGCACCCATATGTTCTCTGTGGCCTGTGAAAGGCCATACTGCAAAGGGTGTGCTTTAGTGACCGCTGTTGTTTCACTCAGTCTGTGCTGAAACCCGCAGGTGATGTTTTCTCTCTGAGCTCAGCAAACGCTCATGATAACAGATGGCTTTGAGGATCAGTCGTTTGCACGGTGTGGTTTGCTCTCTAATTAACAGAGCATGCTGTTGGTCAGCAGTGGCCAAGCTTTACTGAGAGGCTACAGTAATATCCCAAAACTGACACTGACTGTGGTATAAAACAGCATCTGAGATTGTTACCATTATATTAGTACCATTTAAAAGGGTCCCAAAAAAGCGGTACGCTACTGTTCACTATTTTGGTACTTCTGACAGTGAAAATGGAAATAAATGAGTATCATACTTTAGTGAACCACTCAGTGGAAACAAGCCATAATGATACCTTACCGTAAAGTGAGGTATCATTGTTGTAAGGTATTACCTTATGTTGTGTCAATTGTATTGGCACACTACCTCCGTAGTTTTTATCCAGCATAAGAAAAATCTAATCGGGTTTGATTTTTCCATTTTTTTGCATCCGAAAAGCCATTTTGCGAGGTGATTTGACAATTTAGGGCCGCCGTACAAGTGAAAGGCAACATCCAAAATGGAGTCGCAGAAACTAATCCACTTGATCTTGCAACACAAAGTCCTTTATGATAAGCATATAATTCAAATGTTATGTGGTTTATTGTATGTTAGTTTGTCAGCACAGTTTGGTGTGTGCGCACACTGTGTGTCTGTTTGCTTGTCCATCTGTGTCTCCGTAGCTTAGATAAACTGCCAGTCTCTGTTGTGAATCAATTGGTGAAAAAAATTTGGTGGTCTTCCTTTTATTGTGCTTCCATTATTGCTAGCGAAGTATCAAACTGAGCAACAGAAATCCTGAAGTAAATTCTGACTAGGTTGGGATAATCCCACAGCTCTTTTATAAAGCAGTGGAACTCGGCTTCCTCTCTCTGCAATCTAAGAATGGGATGGACCCAATATTTCCATGACAAGACAACAAAATCATCTCATTACTTAAAGACTCCATTTTGCATCGTTTTGCAAATTATTATTCATTAATTTTCCTTCGGCTTAGTCCCTTATATATAAGGGATACAGCGGATCCCCTTCCAGCTGTAAACCAGTACTAGGAAACACCCATACACCGTCACATTCACACACACATACATACAGTACACTACGGACAATTTTGTTTACTCAATCCACCCATAGCACATGTCTTTATACTCTGCGGGAAACCGGAGCACCCAGAGGAAACCCATGCCAACATGGAAAGAATATGCAAACTCCACACAGAAATGCCAACTTGCCCAGCCGGGACTCGAACCAGCGACCTTCTTGCTCTGAGGCGACAGTACTTACCACTGAGCCACTGTGCGGGATTGAGTTTTCCTTTTTTTTTTTGTATATGAAAAGGTATTTTGATAGGTGTTTTCAACATCCAAATTGGGGTCGGAAAAACTAATCCACTTGGTCTCGCAACACAAAACCCTTTATGATAAGTATATAATCCAAATGTTTTGTGATTTATTGTATGTTAGTATATCTGCGTCTCCGTAGATTAAACTAACTGCCAGTCTCTATTCGGGATCATTTGGTTCAGGGAAATTGGTGGTCTTTTTTTAATATGTGCTAGCAAAGTATTAAACTGAGCAACTGACATCCTGAAGTAAATTTTGACCGGGTCGGGATAATCCTGCAGCTCTTTAATAAAGAGGTGGAACTTGGCTTCCTCTCTCTGCAATCTAAGCATGGGATAGACCACATATTTTCACTTTCTTTTTTTTTGTTAAGCAAGGAGAAGACAACAAAATCATCTCCACTACTTAAAGACTCCATTTTGTATCATTCTGTGAATTATTTTGCAGTCTGTGTGCAAGGTTTGCGAGCATAACAACTGTTTCGAATTTGAATGCAAAAAATATATATTATACAAAAATTTCGGTCTTACCTGCTGTGAATCTCCTTCAGTGTAGGGCAGTTTGGTGGACACGTGGAACATGATCTCTTTATTGTGAAAGTTAACATACACCGACTCGGTTCCTGTCTGGCCATGTGTCACATCCAGGCCACCACGAAAACTGTATCATAAAAACAAAATGCCTTCATTCATCTGTTCAACCTCAAATATTCCAATAAACCAGACACCCAATTTCATAAAAAGCAATCTGCTTGTTAAATCTCAATAGCTGATTAATAAAATGACACATTAAACTGAATCTTTTACAGAATCATACAGTTTTGCTGCATCCACCAATACTTAAACAATTATAAAATATGAATCACAGTCTGACCATTTGATATTTGGCATGGGTATATAAACATTACAATCATAATTTTCAAAATGCTTAATATTTTCAATTACTATTATAGCATACTGTAACATTTATCAATACCATTTAGGCATGCTCAATATATTATTTCAGCATCGATATTGCAAAGAGCGCAGAAAACCACCCCCACCCAGAAAAAAGTATACAATTATTAATTTGAATAAAACATAAACAAGGTATAATTTGAGAATGAAGTATATTTCACATAAACAAAAACATCTTGTAGAAGCAAGATCGTTGTGATTGTAACATTTAAAATGTAATAAAGCATCTTAAAAATACTATACCACACAATCTTTTGTATTTTCAAGTAAAATAAAAAATATTATATTAGGCCTATTATATTTTAATGTAAAAATAAATATATGTTGGATGCTTTTGGGGGCGACACGGTGGCTCAGTGGTTAGCACTGTCACCTCACAGCAAGAACGTCGCTGCTTCGACTCTCGACTGGGTCAGTTGGCAATCTGTGTGGAGTTTGCATGTTCTCGATGTGTTCTGATTTCCTACACAAGTCTAAAGACATGCGATACAGGTGAATTGAATAAGCTAAATTGGCCGTAGTATATGTGTGTGAATAGGTGTGTATGGATTTTTCCCAGTGCTGGGTTGCAGCTGAAAGTGCAACCGCTGTGTAAATAAAGGAACAAAGCTGAAGGAAAATGAAAAACGTTTGCTTTTGGCAATCTGACAAAGCGATGGGACCCAGAAGCAGTGATGTATGATGTCAGATTGTAGCAGATTATAATATTACACGTTTTTACTAAAACCTCTACAAAGACTCAAAAATGTGCTGTGTGTGGTTGAACAGAAAGTCCTGTTTTGTGAACCATGTGAAATAACTGACGTCTGTACCCTTTAAAATCATGAAGATCAATCTTCTCTCCCAGGAACTCCAGAAACTCAACAAAAGCTGGACTTTCCTCGTTGTTTCCGAACAGCTCCTCTTCTGATGTCTGCAGAAGAGTCAATGTGTTCAATAAATGAAGCATGGTGATTCAACAATTAGTCATGTGTCATGAATGTACACTATTAAAGTCTAACCGTTGAATTAAAGTCACAAATTTTAAATAAAGTAAATATAAACATTTATTTGTACATCAGACTGTCTTGGAGCTGAATAAGGTCAGTGTAAAATGAAACCCTTTTTAAAGTATGTTTGCTAGATTTTGTCCCTTATGCAAGAAAAATTTAGATTGTATTATATAGTAAAAGAAAAGCATAACAACACTGAATGTTATTCTAACCTGGGCAAACTTTTGGTAAATAACTCCAAACTTGAAGTTGTTGCTGATGACGTGCTCATCGAAGGTCACGATGAGTCTTGAAGCCTTGAAACAGGGTTGCAGATGAAGGTCAGAGGCTGAAAATTACTTGTTCATTTGTTTTTGATGTTATTGCTTCAGCTTACCTTTGGATATAAGACAGGATAAAATCTGTCCACATTCACCTCTTCACAGACAAGCTAAAGAAAAAAAAGATGGATTGATATCATTTATTCATTCATTTATTCATTTTCTTTTCGACTTAGTCCCTTTATTAATTTTTTTGTTTGCCACAGCGGAATGAACTGCCAACATATCCAGCACATGTTTTACGCAGCGAATGCTCTTCCAACCACAACCCATCTCTACGGACAATTTAACCCACCCAATTTACCTGTACCGCATGTTTTTGGACTGGTGGGAAACCGGGGCATCCGGAGGAAGCCCACATGAATGCAGGGAGAACATGCAAACTCCACACAGAAACACCAACTGACCCAGCGATCTTCTTGCTGTGAGGCCGGGGCACTACCTACTGCGCCACTGCATCACCTTTTATTATTTACATATTTCTAATTAAATGATTTTCTTTATCTCATTTCTAAGGCTATTTAAAATGTTAATTTGGTAAAAATGAATTATTAAAAGAAGAGAGATATTAATATAAAATATGATTAATCATCATTTTAGATATGCTTTCATTGAGATAAAAATAAATTAACTTCAAAGTCATTTTTGCAACGTTTAATTTTCTGGATTTTTTTGAGAAAACACTGATACGTGCAGCTAATGAATTGATGAGTAATTTAAATTAATTAAAACATCTGTAACTAGATTCTTAAAGTTTGAGAACAAACTTTGAGGCTGGCTTGTGAAAGCCTGACGGTAATAGTTTATTTAGTTTAAACAGTTTTAAAAAGTATGAAAATATAGATAGATAGATAGATAGATAGATAGATAGATAGATAGATAGATAGATAGATAGATTAGCATATTATTAGCATGATTCTAGCGTGAAATAGCATGTTGTTAGCATGATTCTAGCATGAATTAGCATTTTACTAGCATGATTTTAGCATGAATTAGCATGTTGTTAGCATGTTACTAGCATGATTCTAGCATGAATTAGCATGTTGTTAGCATGATTCTAGCATGAATTAGCATGTTTTTAGAACGATTCCACTATGAATTAGCATGTTACTAGCATGATTTTAGCATGAATTAGCACGATTCTAGCATGAATTAACATGTTGTTAGCATGATTCTACATGAATTAGCATGTTACTAGCATGATTCTAGCATGATATAGCATGTTGTTAGCATGATTCTAGCATGAATTAGTATGTTACTAGCATGATTCTAGCATGAATTAGCATGTTACTAGCATGATTTTAGCATGAATTAGCATGTTGTTAGCATGAATTAGCATGTTACTAGCATGATTCTAGCATGAATTAGCATGTTGTTAGCATGATTCTAGCATGAATTAGCATGTTTTTAGAACGATTCCACTATGAATTAGCATGTTACTAGCATGATTTTAGCATGAATTAGCACGATTCTAGCATGAATTAACATGTTGTTAGCATGATTCTAGCATGAATTTGCATGTTACTAGCATGATTCTAGCATGATATAGCATGTTGTTAGCATGATTCTAGCATGAATTAGTATGTTACTAGCATGATTCTAGCATGAATTAGCATGTTACTAGCATGATTCTAGCATGAATTAGCATGTTGTTAGCATGATTCTAGCATGAATTAGCATTTGACTAGCATGATTCTAGCATGAATTAGCATTTGACTAGCATGATTCAAGCATGAATTAGCATGTTGTTAGCATGATTCTAGCATGAATTAGCATGATGTTAGCATGATTCTAGCATGAATTAGCATGTACCTAGTATGATTTTAACATGAATTAGCATGTTACTAGCAAGATTTTAGCATGATTTAGCACGATTCTAGCATGAATTAGCATGTTGTTAGCATGATTCTAGCATGAATTAGCATGTTACTAGCATGATTCTAGCATGAATTAGCATGTTGTTAGCATGATTCTTGCATGAATTAGTATGTTACTAGCATGATTCTAGCATGAATTAGCATGTTACTAGCATGATTCTAGCATGAATTAGCATGTTGTTAGCATGATTCTAGCATGAATTATCATGTGACTAGCTTGATTCTAGCATGAATTAGCATGTTGTTAGCATGATTCTAGCATGAATTAGCATGTTACTAGCATGACTCCAGCATGAATTAGCATGTTGTTAGCATGATTCTAACATGAATTAGCATGCTACTAGCATGAATCTAGCATGAATTAGCATGTTGTTAGCATGATTCTAACATGAATTAGCATGTTACTAGCATGATTCTAGCATGAATTAGCATGTTGTTAGCATGATTCTAGCATGAATTAGCATGTGACTAGCATGATTCTAGCATGAATTAGCATGTGACTAGCATGATTCTAGCATGAATTAGCATGTTGTTAGCATGATTCTAGCATGAATTAGCATGTTACTAGCATGACTCCAGCATGAATTAGCATGTTGTTAGCATGATTCTAACATGAATTAGCATGCTACTAGCATGAATCTAGCATGAATTAGCATGTTGTTAGCATGATTCTAACATGAATTAGCATGTTACTAGCATGATTCTAGCATGAATTGTCATGTGACTAGCATGATTCTAGCATGAATTAGCATGTGACTAGCATGATTCTAGCATGAATTAGCATGTGACTAGCATGATTCTAGCATGAATTAGCATGTTGTTAGCATGATGGATACATAGATAGATAGATAGAAAGAGGTAGATAGATAGATAGATAGATAGATAGATAGATAGAAAGAGGTAGATAGATAGATAGATAGATAGATAGATA